TTCTGTTTTTCTTTTTTTTCCATTTCTTTTCGTTTTTTTTCAAGTTTCTGTTTTTCTTTTTTTTCCATTTCTTTTCGTTTTTTTTCAAGTTTCTGTTTTTCTTTTTTTTCCATTTCTTTTCGTTTTTTTTCCATTTTCTGTTTTTCTTTTTTTTCTATTTCTTTTCGTTTTTTTTCCATTTTCTGTTTTTCTTTTTTATCTTGTTCTTTTTGTTTTTTTTTTCTCTCTTTTTCTTCTTTTTCTCTTCGTTCTTTTTCCTTTTTTGCGTATTCTTTTGCTTCTGCATCTGTTTCTTGTGGCTGTTTTGTGTATTTCATTGTATAAAAGGGGGCGTTATCTCCTTCGTATTCTTCCTGGTCATCGTGCTCTTGGTCTTCTTCGTAGTCGTAATGAGTTGAGTATTCTACACCCTGTCCTTGTGATACGTCAGTGGGGAATAACCCGTCAGATGGGTTACCCTGCATAAGGTACCTCTGTTGCCCTGCGGCTAGCCATCGGTGGGTTCTTTTTGAGTCCACTGCATTTCTGTGTGCATGCTGTGGTTCGAAGACTTGGTTTTGAAGAATGAAGAGAAAGAGAGAAAAAAAAAAGAAAAACAAAAAAGCGGTTGACGACATCATGTTATGGTTTAATCGGTAAGAGATGGGAAGGGTGAAAAAAGTTGCATTGAATGGATGCGCCCCCTTTTTAAAATAATAATTTGAGTTTTTAAAAATACATTATAAAAAAAAATCAATTTTAAAAATGAACAAAGGGAAAAAACAAAACAAATTTTGGTGTACCCGGGGGTGGGGCGATTGTTTTTGCTTTTATAAATTGACCACTAAAAAAGTATATTCTTTGCTGTGGGGTTGTAACGTGTTTTGTTACCTCGGGAGAGACGTATGCAGTTTTGTAACGGGTTGACCAACTGAACTTTTGTAGAACAGTCAATAATGGTCATCTCATGTTGTTATAATATAAACATGTGCGCCAAAGAAAAGTGACTGCTTTTTAAAAACTAAAACTATTATAAAAGCCGTCGTGCATAATGGCAACAATGGCGCTAAACTGATTATATACAACACGATGTCCTTATAAAAAAAAAAAAAAAATGCATATTGGTAAGCCGGGGTAAGTAGGGAATTGGGTGGAAAATCGATCCACCAGCACCTTTTTTTTTATTATCGTTTTTTTGTTTTACCCCATTTTCAGCTTGTGCAAAAAGGAGAGATTGAAACTTGTTGCACTGAAACTTTGTGCAGGGCACCTCCCGCTGCCGTTGTAATATTATATACATACATTTTTCGGTGATGTGACAACAGCCCAGTTGGTGTTTCGCGGGTACAAAATATATCCTGTAGAAACCGTTTTTTATGCTTATCTTTTTTGTTCATAAAAGTTTTTTTTGTGTACTTTTTTTTTTTTTTTGCACCCTTCCCTTCAAAAGAAAATCACCCTCATACCTTTATATATTGCATTTTAAAAAGTCGTTCTTGCCCCTGACACATAAATATATATTATATATTAAACGGGTTAGGTTTAATGCGTAAACTTTTATAGAAGGGTCAAAAGAAGGACAAAGTTTCCACGGTGATTTAATAAAAAAAAAAAAAATAGCTAGCTGTGGAAAAGAAACCTTTTCTTTTTTTCTCACCTCTTCTCAATTCCGATGAGAACAGGATATACATAACATCATTAAGCACACACGTTGTGTGATTGTATAAAAAAAAAAATTACCATTACATATGACACAAAAAAAACGCTGCTGCATTGGGAGCAATTATAACCTCTCCACAACTCATTATCCAAAAGACAAATTAAAAAATAAAATTTTTTTTTTTTTAAAAAAAAATTTACACGTTGTATCTGTTTGGCTACATGTGCTACGAATAAAGGAAAAAAAAAAAAAAAACATTGTACCACCTGGTGCGCACATGTGTATTAAATAAAAAAAAAAAAAAAAAAAAAAAAAATTGACAAAGGCTTGAAAAGGAGGATTAAACGTAAAATAATTAAGCATAATGAGACAAGGAAAATATTTGTTGAACAAACACTACTTAAAATACAAATACACACATATAAAACTGTATGGATTATATATATATATATATGTATATATACTTTTTTTGAAATGAAAAAACAAAACGGGGTGTCGGTAGGGGTTGTTCCTGTATTTGTAACTTAGAAAAATATGTGGACCTTGCAATTTTTCCTTTTCTCTTTTTACATTACTTTGATGTGATGGGTTTAGCTCCTATCAGTAGGATGCACACGGGAGGGGGGGGGATTTTTTTTTTTCCTCTGCGTCCGTCTCTTTCGAACCGTCATGGTGGAGTAATATGTCAACGCGGAGGTGGACACACGGGTGTGTTGCTTCGCGTCTGCTTCGCGTCTGCGTCGTGTCTGCATCGTGTCTGCGTCGCGTCTGCGTCGATATCTATATTGTCCCAATTGGGCTTCGCCAGCGGGTTACTCTTTTTTTTTTTGCGGATTATGCGGCCATGGCTTCGGCGGCGGGTTCTTCTACGCTAACAGGAGTGGCATGTTGACTTGGAGCAGCTACTTGTTCCTCTGCGAGTTTCTGTTCATCGGCTGCATTTTTTCTTTCCTCATTCCACACAAGCCATTGTTTTTGTTTAATCCAGTTATCAACAAATGTCTCGGTCCATTCACTAAATTGTAATTGTTTCCCTTTTTTCCAATCGGACCAGGTGTTCCAATTAGAGTTGACAAATCTGCTTTCTCTAACGGCAATCCAATTTTTCCATTCGACTCCTTCCCTGTATATTCTTTCCTTCCATTTATACCATTGTTTTTGGTCTTCAAAGTCTAGGGTTTGTAAAGTATATTCATCATAGTTAGACCAGTATTTGTCTTCACTTTGTTTCCATTCGCTTGTAATCCATTCTTTTATTTTTTCATTTTTCCAGTCATTCCATGTATTCATAGCCCACTTAGAATATATCATTGCGCTACGAGTGAACCATTTTTTTAGGTCGGCTTCTAGGAGTTGTTTTGCTTCTGTTGAGATCCAAT